AGGCCTTTTTATTGCAGGGTTGTGGCCCCTGAGGTCAGATTCTCATCGGGAGACAGACAATACGTTGGTGCTGTCCTTCGTTGGCCAGACCAGGTGAGGAGGGGTTAAGGTTGAGCTGCATATTGGAGCATGATCATAGAATAGTTAAGGTAGGGTTGGAAAGGACCTTAAGATCATTCAGTTCCAACCCCTAACATGGGCAGGGACCCCTTCCCACTAGAGCAGGGTGCTCCAAGCCCCTGTGTCCAACCTGGCCTTGAGCACTGTCAGGGATGGGAGTGCAAATACCACCTCTTTGGGCAACCTGTGCCAACACCTCACCACCCTCACGGTAAAGAGCTTCCTTATATCCAACCTGTTTCAGTTTGAACCCATCACCCCTTGTCCTGTTGCTACAGTCCCTAATGAAGAGTCCCTGTCCAGCATCCTTGCAGCCCCCTTCAGACACTGGAAGCTGCTCTGAGGTCTCCAAGCAGCTTCTCTCCTCCAGGCTCAACAGCCCCAATGTTCCCAGCCTGGCTCCATATGGGAGCTGCTCCAGCCCCTGAGCATCCTCGTGGCCTCCTCTGGTTTTGCTCCAACAGCTCCACATCCTATTGATGTTGGGGACCCCAGCTCTGCACACAGTGCTCCAAAAGGGGTCTCAGCAGAGCAGAGGAGAGGGGCAGAATCACCTCCTCCAACCTGTAGTCACCCATATCTAATGATAGGAGTTCTCTTTCTTGCTTAGGGTTCTTATGTTAAATGGAGAGGAGGTAGAAGAGACGGAGCTCACAGGGTTTGTGGATGATCAGCAGACCTTCTTCTGTGGCAATGTGGCACACCAGCAACTGATCCAGGTAATTCCAGTTGGAGGGCACTGCAGATAAGTCTCTTGTGGTGATCCCACATTCCTTACTGCTGTTGGGCTAACCTAGACCTGCATTGCTTACCTGGGGCATGGTTTGGTGTCCTTCCTTGGACTGACGTGGGAAGGAAGGTGATGTTCTAGCTCTGAGCAAAGGGGTTCTCTCTCCCCAGATCACCTCTGCCTCTGTGAGACTGGTTAGTCAGGAGCCCAAAGCCCTGGTGAGTGAATGGAAAGAGCCCAATGGCAAGAACATCAGCGTGGCTTCCTGCAACACTAACCAGGTCGTGGTGGCTGTGGGACGAGCCCTGTATTACCTGGAGATCCGACCCCAGGAGCTCAGGCAGATCAGGTGGGTGCAGGTCTCCCATCCCAACCTGAGGGCTCTCAGCCTTTCCCATCTGTTTTGGGGCTCAGGACCGACACCTCTGCTTCCAGCTGCACAGAAATGGAGCATGAAGTTGCCTGCCTGGACATCACCCCCTTGGGGGACAGCAATGGGATGTCCCCACTGTGTGCAATCGGGCTCTGGACCGACATCTCTGCCCGCATCCTCAAGCTGCCTTCCTTTGAGCTGCTGCACAAAGAGATGCTGGGAGGAGGTAGGAATCTCCTAGGGGTGCTGGGTGGTCCTGGAGGAGGCCTGGCTCACATCAGCCTTCCCCTGTGCTCCCTGCAGAGATCATCCCTCGCTCCATCCTGATGACAACCTTTGAGAGCAGCCACTACCTCCTGTGTGCCCTGGGGGATGGAGCGCTCTTCTACTTCGGGCTCAGCCTTGAGACAGGTGAGTACAGGGGCCCAGCACTGAGCTGGCTGCTGGGGAGGGAGGCTGGACTCGTGCCCTCTTATGTGCTTCATGGGTTCCCTTTCATCCTTCTGGAGAGCTCTCATAGAACCATGGGATGGGTTGGGATGAAGGGAGCTGAAAGCTCATCCAGCTCCAACCCCTTCCACTGGAGCAGCTTGCTCCAAGCCCCTGTGTCCTTGAGCACTGCCAGGGATGGGGCAGCCACAGCTTCTCTGGGCACCCTGTTCCAGCGCCTCAGCACCCTCACAGGGAAGAGCTTCTGCCTAAGAGCTCAGCTCAGTCTCCCCTCGGGCAGGTTCAAGCCATTCCCCTTGGCCTGGCCCTACAGGCCCTTGTCCCAAGCCCCTCTCCAGGTTCCCTGCAGCCCCTTTAGGCACTGGAGCTGCTCTAAGGTCTGCCCTTCCGGAGCCTTCTCCAGGCTGAAAAAGCCCAATTTTCCCTTGTGTTCTCCCTGTGATGGGGCTGTGCTCAGGCTGTGGGCACTGGGAGTGAACTATGGAGAAAGGAGATGGATGGATGCTTACATCCATTCCCTCGCTGCCCTGTGCTGACAGCAAGATGCGTTCACCCCCACTCTTCTCAAGGAGCTGCAGCCCCATTGCACTCTGCTGTGCTCCTCTTGTGAGCCCAGCTATGGCAGCCAACCCCAAGCTCCTCTCCTGCAGGTTTGCTGAGCGACAGGAAGAAGGTGACCCTGGGCACCCAGCCCACTGTCCTGAGGACCTTCCGCTCTCTGTCCACCACCAACGTGTTTGCCTGCTCTGACCGCCCCACCGTCATCTACAGCAGTAACCACAAGCTGGTCTTCTCCAACGTCAACCTGAAGGAGGTGAACTACATGTGTCCCCTCAACTCGGATGGGTATCCTGACAGGTGAGGCTGGGGCACGGGGTGGGTGGTGGAAAGGGACCCAAAGCACAAGCATAGGAGATGGGATGGAGCAGCTTGAGGAGGATTTGAAGGTTCTGGGTGAGGAGAAGCTCCCCATGACCTGGCTTCAGTGTGTGCTTGAGCCCAGAACCCCTCCATGTGCTGGGTGCACCCCCAGAGCGTGATTTGCCCTGTGGGGAGACCTTAGAGCAGCTCCAGTGCCTAAAGGGGCTGCAGGAAACCTGGAGAGGGGCTTGGGACAAGGGCCTGTAGGGACAGGCCAAGGGGAATGGCTTGAACCTGCCCGAGGGGAGACTGAGCTGAGCTCTTAGGCAGAAGCTCTTCCCTGTGAGGGTGCTGAGGCGCTGGCACAGGGTGCCCAGAGAAGCTGTGGCTGCCCCATCCCTGGCAGTGCTCAAGGACACAGGGGCTTGGAGCAAGCTGCTCCAGTGGAAGGGGTTGGGGTTGGAGCTGGATGAGCTTTAAGCTCCCTTCATCCCAAACCACGCTGGGGTTCTGTCCTGGGATCAGCAGTTTTGAAGGGTGTGGAGGAAAAGGAGGTGCTTGACATGGCACCTGCGTTTAACAGTTGGACTTGATGACCTTAAAGGTCTTTTCCAGCCTAGCTGATCCTATGTTTCTATGGTACAAGCACCTCTGCTCATGTGGTTTTGTTCCCTCACAGCTTGGCACTGGCCAACAACAGCACCCTGACAATTGGCACCATTGATGAGATCCAGAAGCTGCACATCCGCACCGTTCCCCTCTATGAATCACCCAGGTGAGCTGGAGAAGGAGCCTGCCTCGAAGGTCCTTGCTCTGCTGCATGGGACAAGCTTGGGGGAAGACTTCATGGTCACTGTTGTGGTGGTGGCCTTGTCCTGAGAGCATGGGCAAGCAAACAGCTCTGTGCTCTCCTTGCAGTGGCCTCTCCTGCCTCTCACACAGCTCAATTTGTCCCATAGGAAGATCTGCTACCAGGAGGTGTCCCAATGCTTTGGGGTGCTCTCGAGTCGTATCGAGGTGCAGGATGCCAGTGGAGGCACCACTGCACTCAGACCCAGCGCCAGCACCCAGGTGAGGGGGAGCTCTGGGCTGGGGGTTTCATAGGTGCTCAGGCCAACACATGATGCACATCATCCTCGACAGTCTTCTCTTGCAAAGCTCTGAGTGCAACCTCTCCCTTTGGCAGCCTCAGAGGAGATGGGGTGGTAAGAGATCCCCAAGGGCCCTTTGGCAGCCTCAGCATCCCTGTTGTGTGCGGTCACCTTTGGGTGCTGCTCCTTCAGGCTTCCATGCAGGCATCTCTTTGGTCTCCAGTGGTTTCCTTCTCACAGGGATGCAGCACAAGTGGCCTTCAAGGCCAGTAGCACTGGGGGATGCTGTTGCTCAATGTGTCCCTTTACTGGGGCCCAGGATGCTCCTTGTGTCACCTCTCCCATTCCTTTGCCTGCTCTCTGGCTGCCTCAGCCCATGTAGAGCAGCGTGAGGACACGGTGATAGCACAAGGATGTGACTGACTCTGTGTGTCCTAGGCCCTCTCCAGCAGTGTGAGCACCAGCAAGCTGTTCTCCAGCAGCACAGCCCCCCATGAGACATCCTTTGGAGAGGAGGTGGAGGTGCACAACCTGCTCATCATAGATCAGCACACCTTTGAAGGTACCAACCCCAAGGTCTGGTTTTCTCCTCCAGGACAAGGCCATGAGTGTGGGGATGGGGAGATCTCTGATCTCCTGTGTTCCTTTGGCCACAATGTGTTTCCTGGTGGAGGATCAGCCCCAGGACACAGGTTGAAGGCATAGTGGGGTTTGATAGCACGAGGAGACAGGAGATGGGATCTGCTTGGGACATGGCTTAAGTCTTAAGCTCTACCAGGACCTAGGAGGACTCAGCTGTCTTCTGCCTCTCCCTTTGTGCACAGTGCTTCATGCTCACCAGTTCCTACAGAACGAGTACGCCCTCAGCCTGGTCTCCTGCAAGCTTGGCAAGGACCCCAACACCTACTTCATCGTGGGCACTGCCATGGTGTATCCCGAGGAGGCAGAGCCCAAGCAGGGCCGCATCGTGGTCTTCCACTACTCCGATGGTAAGAGTGAGGTCTTCTCCTGGGGCTGAGTTCAGCTGCTGGGGATGGGAGCAGGGATGAGCTCCTCACACCCAAAAGGGCTCATGTGCCAGGAGCAGGTGGAGTTTGACCAGAGGCTCCTGCTGTAAGCTGCCCATAGGCAGGATCTGTAGGGGCTGTCACTGCTCCCATCTCCTAGAGAAGCCCAGGAATCCTTTGCCAGGATCCTGGGATTCCTCAGTGTGCCCCTGCTGTCACATCACTCCTTGTGTTACTTGCCTACAGATCCTCAAAGAGAACAATGTTTAGAGCAGCTCCTGTGACTCCCTTTGCTTTGCCACCCTTGGCAATGCAAGGAAAATAACCATGGGGGTCCTGGTGGACGACAGGGTGACCATGAGCCGACACTGTGCCCTCGTGGCCAAGAAGGCCAATGGCATCCTGGGGTGTATTAGAAGGGGGGTGGTTAGTAGGTGGAGAGAGGTCCTCCTTCCCCTCTACTCTGCCCTGGTGAGACCCCATCTGGAACATGGGGTCCAGTTCTGGGCCCCTCGGTTTAAGAAGGACAGGGACCTGCTGGAGAGAGTCCAGCGCAGGGCAACTGAGATGATGAAGGGAGTGGAGCATCTCCCTTATGAGGACAGACTGAGGGAGCTGGGTCTCTATAGTTTGGAGAAGAGGAGACTGAGGGGTGACCTTATTAGTGCATATAAATATATAAAGGGGGAGTGTCCCGAGGATGGAGCCAGGCTCTTCTCAGTGGCAAACAATGATAGGACAAGGGGCAATGGGTACAAACTGGAACACAAGAGGTTCCACTTAAACCTCTTCTCAGTGAGGGTGACAGAACACTGGACCAGGCTGCCCAGGGAGGTTGTGGAGTCTCCTTCTCTGGAGACATTCAAAACCCACCTGGACACGTTCCTGTGTAACCTTATCTGGGTGTTCCTGCTCCATAGGGGGATTGGACTGGATGATCTTATGAGGTCCCTTCCAATCTCTAACATACTGTGATACTGTGATACTGTGATGTGCTGCATGGCTTTATTCCAGGGAAGCTGCAGAGCCTGGCTGAGAAGGAGGTCAAGGGAGCCGTGTATTCCATGGTGGAATTCAATGGGAAGCTCTTAGCCAGCATCAACAGCACGGTAAGGCTCTAAGACCCTGCCTTGTTTTGGGAACACCTTTGGATACCAGTCAGGTCCCTGATCCCTATGGAGGAGCCTGGCCTGGCTGCTGTGGGGTGTCCGTGGGGGCTCAGAGCACTGCCCCTGCCTTCAGGTGCGCCTCTATGAGTGGACAGCAGAGAAGGAGCTGCGCACGGAGTGCAACCACTACAACAACATCATGGCCCTCTACCTGAAGACCAAAGGGGACTTCATCCTGGTGGGAGACCTCATGAGGTCCGTGCTCCTCCTCGCATACAAGCCCATGGAAGGGAACTTCGAGGAGGTGCGTTGAAGGTGCTAGGAGTCTGGCTCACCTTGCAGCCCTTTGGAGGCAGAGATCATGGAGAGAAGCTTCCAGTGCCTTAAGGGGGCTGCAAGGATGCTGCAGAGGGACTCTTCATCAATGACTGCAGTGATGGGATGAGGGGTGATGGGTTCAGACTGAAACAGGGCAAGTTCAGGTTGGAGATAACCTGCTCTAGTGGAAGGTTGGAGATAACCTGCTCTAGGGAGGTTGGAACTGCAGGAGCTTTAAGGACCTTTCCAATCCAATCCCTTCTATGATCTAGGGCTGTGCAATGAGAGCAGCATCACCCAGGCATGCTTCCACATGCATCCCTGTGGTTTGTGGAGGGATGGATCTTTGGCCTTCCCAAGGAACTGGGCAATGTACCAACAGCCTGGAGAAGAGCACACTGTGGGTGCATGCTTGCTGCCTGCCAGGCTGGGGAGCTGCCATCTGGAGTGCCTGTTGTCCAGTTGGAAGAGCTCAGTGTGACCATAGCTGCAGCTCTGGCAGTGGGGGGATGGAGCAGGCACTTCCTCTGTTAGGCTTTGGGCTCTCTGGGTTTGCCATGGGAATGCTGTGGCATCACCTGAGCACCACATGGGCCATGTCCAGAAGGCACTTGGTGCCCTTTCCCACTCCAGCAGGGAGGCCAGCCTGGATCCTCACTCTTGAGTGGTGCTGCTGGGTTGGAATGATGATGCTGGATGACAAGGAAGAGCCATCTGGGCTCACTGGGTCTCCTCTTGGCCCTTTCCAGATTGCCCGGGACTTCAATCCAAACTGGATGAGTGCTGTGGAGATCCTGGACGATGACAACTTCTTGGGAGCAGAGAATGCTTTCAACCTGTTTGTGTGCCAGAAGGACAGGTGAGCTGCAGGGACAGGACCTTCTGGTCCCCTCCACATCCCAACTAGGGAGAGGAGCATACCCAGCCCTGAGGAATGAAGGGGGGCAGAGCAGAGCAAGGTCTCAGGCTCCCCCAACACAGGGTAACCAGGATGCTTTGCCTTACAGCGCAGCCACGACCGATGAGGAGCGTCAGCACTTGCAGGAGGTGGGCTTGTCCCACCTGGGGGAGTTTGTCAATGTCTTCTGCCATGGATCTCTGGTCATGCAGAACCTGGGGGAGACCTCCACACCCACCCAGGGCTCCGTTCTCTTCGGCACAGTCAATGGCATGATTGGTAAGGGTCTCATCCCTGCTGCTGATCCTGAGCTGGGTTCCCTTGGGTCTCTGCTCTTCTCCATTCCTCACTCATAATCCCTTCAGAAACCTCTGGATTGCTTCCAGAAGAGGGAAGTCCTCTGGGTCTCCCATCTCTCCCAGCACAATTCCAGTCCCAGGAGGCTGCTGGGATGAGCCCTGGATCCTTTACCTCTGCTTTCCCCTTCACAGGCCTGGTGACCTCACTGTCAGAGAGCTGGTACAACCTCCTCTTGGACATGCAGAACAGGCTGAATAAAGTCATCAAGAGCGTGGGCAAGATTGAGCATTCCTTATATCCTTCCACCATTCCCTCTGGAGCACTGTGCTTGTGGAGGGTTGGAGAGGTTTATTCCTGTTGGGATGCTCTGGTTGGGATGGACATCATAGAATAGTTAGGGTTGGAAAGGACCTTAAGGTCATCAAGTGATGGAGAGGGTGGTTGTGAGGTCCTCAGGTGCCAACACAGGGCTTTGTGCTCATAGAGGAGGTAGGGATGGCTCTGTCTTGGGGGGGTTAAGGTTCAATCTGGCTTGGTGGTGGCCCTGGGATCCTCCTGATGTGGCACTGGCAGCATGGGGGCATCTGCTGTGCTCCCCACTAGGGTTGGGCTTATTATTCCTTCTGGATTTGGTTTATTCCCAATGGCTTTGGCTCCTTGACTGTGGTACCTGGAGATCGTTTCACACCGAGCGCAAGACGGAGCCAGCCACGGGGTTCATTGATGGTGACCTGATCGAGAGCTTCCTGGACATCAGCAGGCCCAAGATGCAGGAGGTGGTGGCAAACCTGCAGGTGAGATGGGGGTTCCTCCCTCTTGGATCCTTCCCAATCCCACTCGGGAATCCAGGCTGTGCTAAAGGAGTAGATCCCATCCGCTCCCTTCCTCCAAGGCCATGAGCTGGGGATGTTCTTGAGCCTCTTCCTGCTGCCTCCAAGCTCTGAGCCCTCCTCTCCTTGCAGATTGATGATGGCAGTGGCATGAAGAGGGAAGCCACCGTGGACGACCTCATAAAGATAGTGGAGGAGCTCACCCGGATCCATTAGGATTTGGGCTCATTCCCAACCACCTTCCTCCATGGAGTGCAAAGGAATCTTCCCCCCCTGACCCTGCACCAAACCCCAGCCATGGGGGCCATGGGGGAAGGATGCTCTGGAGGGGATCCAGCTTCTTTGAGGGCACTGCATCATCTCCTGCTTGGATTTAGGAATCCTATGGACTCTGCAGCCCCGGAAGTGATCGCTGTGCTGGGGCCGATGGGATGCCCTGGCCTGGATTCCCTCTTCACTGCTGTCTTTAGCTTGTTCCTTCTTGTTTTGCTTTGGATTCATTGGGATTTCTTTGGAAGAGGAAGCAGAGCTGCCCCAGGGGTGAGGGCTGGGGTTGGGGGTGAGACATGGAGCATGAGGAGGAGGATTCCTCTGCATCCCAAGTGCTGAAGCGGAGCAGGGATGCTCCTCTCAGCGCAGGATCTGGGGCTCGCTCCAGGAGGGGAGCTCTGGGAGCAGTTGGTGGTTGCTGAGTTTTACCAAATAAAGTAGTCCAAGGAAAAGGTTTGGCTGCTGGCACCCGCAGGGATTCCCCCTTCCCGCTGCAAGGCATTTTCCCCCCTGCATTTAGACACTATCCCATGCATTCCTGGCCCTGGAGCAGCAGCACTTGGGAGCTTGTCGGACCATGGAAGCAGGCACCAGCAGTGGAGTGGATTGCAGTCAGTAGCCTTTTCCTTGTGCTCAACCCACATCCCTATGGATCTGGGGGGATCAGGATGCGATGTCAGCCTCATCTTGCATCATCCCATTGACTGCGCATTACCTGAGCCTGCCTCTTGTGGAGGCATCGTCTGCTCCATCACCTTCTCCATAGGGAAGAGGGGGACCAGACCCCCTCTCTGCTACTCCTCTTCATCAGGGGCTGGATAGGACAAGGGGTGATGGCTTCAAACTGAACCAGGGCACGTTCAGGTTGGATACAAGGAAGAAGCTCTTCCCATGTCTCTGCCCATTGGATCTCACCCAGTGCATGATCCCCATCCATAACCCCTCACGTTAAGATCCCTGTACCCCATCCTGGGCAGGTTTTCCCTAAACCCTCCAGCAGCAGCAGGAGGTGGGCAGCATCCTGCATCCTTCTTCCTTGGACATCCCCCTCTACAACTGGGGGGCTCCAAGGACCACATCAGCCTGGCTCTGCATGGCTCCTGTGATGCTGGGGTGACGATGCCAGCACCCCCCCCTTTACTGTGCTCCTATGGTGGGTGTTTATCCCATGCACTGCCCCTGCTCCATCCCTATCCCAGCACTGGGATCATGTCCATGACCACCCTGTGGGTCCCCCCCTAAACCCACCCTATTCCCCTTTAACCCTCACTTCTAAGCATGCAGGGGCTGCCTGATGCTGCATCCTGCTTTGGTGACCCCAACCTTGGATAGGGCTATATGGGAGGGGGAAGGAAAAATCCTTATGGAATGGGGACCTGGCCCCTGCAGGGCTTAACCCGGGAGCAGCGCCTGCCCTTTGCTCCCTCCTATCAATCATTTACCTGCCTGCGACCTTTGCTCCAGCCCATGGCCTTAGGTTGGGATGAGATGGAATGGGATGGGGGGGGAAGGAATTGCTTGGTTGGGGGTGACCCCATTGCACTGGTACCCCCCCCCCCTAAAACCACCCCCCCCTCAGCATCACTTTGGCCCCTGCGTGCTCCTCTCTGGTGGGTCCCAGTGCAGAGCCGGGCAGGCGGCCCAGTGCCTCCAGGAGGAGGAGCGGTGGGGAGAGGCCAGGCCGGAGCTTTGCCAGATGTGGGAAAAGGAGAAAGGGGGGGGGGGGGGGTCCCATTCCCTGCATCCCTGAGTGTGCCCCCCCACTGCTCCCTATGGCCGAGCCCCATCCACAGGAACCAGACTGGGTGCGAGCATCCCCATCCGATGGGATCCCCCCCTCCCTGCTCTCGCCTCCCCTCCACCCCCCGCATTGTGGAAGCCGGGAGGAGGAGGAGGAGGAGCAGGGCCAAGGGCCCAGGCTGCGGAGCGAGGCAGGAGCGAGCCGCAAGCCCCCGGTCATGCTGCGGGCGCTGCTGCTCCTCGCTGCCGCCGCCTCCCTCCTCGGCCCCGGTGCCCCGGGCTCGGCGCACCCCGGGAGGAAGAACCCGCCCGGCTTTGCGGTCCAGAGGTACCGGGGATGGGGATGGGGATGGGGATGGGGATGGGGATGGGGATGGGGGGGGGGGTTCTCCCTTCTTCCTCCTTCCCGTCCTTGCCCTGCTCCCAGCTACACCTGGATCCAACCGAGACAAACCGGACCCGGGCGGTGCTGCCCAGCCCCGGGGGTGCCGCTGCATCCGTGTCCTGCTCCATCAGCGCTGGGTTCGGGTTGCTTTGGGGCACGGCTCTGTCTCCATCCCGTTTGTTTCTGGGGTCACTCATCCCTGTGTATCCTCATCCTGCTCCCTTATCACTGCGTTCGGGTTGCTTTGGGGTACAGCATTCCCTCCATCCCTCTTGTTTCTGGGGTCACTCTCCCCCTGCATCCTCATCCTGCTCCCTTATCCCCACATTCAGTTACATTGGGAGCACAGCATTCCCTCCATCCCTCTTGTTTCTGGGGTCACTCTGCCCCTGCATCCCCATCCTGCTCCCTTATCCCTGCCTTCGGGTTGCTTTGGGGCATGGCTCTGTCTCCATCCCGTTTGTTTCTGGGGTCACTCATCCCTGTGTATCCTCATCCTGCTCCCTTATCACTGTGTTCGGGTTACATTGGGAGCACAGCATTCCCTCCATCCCTCTTGTTTCTGGGGTCAGTCTCCCCCTGCATCCATGTCCTGCTCCCTTATCACTGCCTTTGGGATATGTTGGAGCAGAGCATTCCCTCCATCCCACTTGTTTCTGGGGTCACTCTTCCCTCTGCAGCCACATCCTCCTCCCTTATCACTGGGTTTGGTTTGCTTTGGGGCATGGCTCTGTCTCCATCCCATTTGTTTCTGGGGTCACTCATCCCTGTGTATCCGCATCCTGCTCCCTTATCCCTGCCTTTGGGTTGCTTTGGGGCATGGCTCTGTCTTCATCCCATTTGTTTCTGGGGTCACTCATCCCTGTGTATCCGCATCCTGCTCCCTTATCACTGTGTTCGGGTTGCTTTGGGGCACAGCATTCCCTCCATCCCTCTTGTTTCTGGGGTCACTCTCCCCCTGCATCCCCATCCTGCTCCCTTATCCCTGCCTTCGGGTTGCTTTGGGGCATGGATCTGTCTCCATCCCTCTTGTTTCTGGGGTCACTTTTCCCTGTGTATCCTCATCCTGCTCCCTTATCCCCTCATTCAGTTACATTGGGAGCACAGCATTCCCTCCATCCCTCTTGTTTCTGGGGTCACTCTCCCCCTGCATCCTCATCCTGCTCCCTTATCCCCTCATTCAGTTACATTGGGAGCACAGCATCCCCTCCATCCCTCGTGTTTCTGGGGTCACTCTCCCCCTGCATCCTCATCCTGCTCCCTTATCCCCTCATTCAGTTACATTGGGAGCACAGCATTCCCTCCATCCCTCTTGTTTCTGGGGTCACTCTCCCCCTGCATCCTCATCCTGCTCCCTTATCCCCTCATTCAGTTACATTGGGAGCACAGCATCCCCTCCATCCCTCTTGTTTCGGGGGTCACTCTCCCCCTTCATCCCTTTGTATCCCCATGGGCATCCCCTTACCCCCCATCCCCATGGCCAGGGGGTCCCCATTGGCTCAAGGACCAGGCCCCAAGGGGCTGGGATGGGTTCGGCCTCATCCCCGCATCCCTCGCACAGGCGCCGCTTGGGTCCCCACGTCTGCATCTCCGCCTTGGGCAGCGGATGCTGTCCCGGGTGGATGCTGGCCCCGGGCAGCGGGCAGTGCACCCTGCGTGAGTAATGGGGGTACGGGGGTCCCTGTGTGGGGAATGGGGGGTATGGGGGTCTCTGTGTGGGGAATGGGAGGTATGGGTGTCCCTGTGTGGAGGGGGGATACGGGGGTCCCTGTGTGGGGAATGGGGGGTATGGGGTGTCTTATGGGGGGGAATGGGTACGGGGGTCCCTGTGTGGGGAATGGGGGTACGGGGGTCCCTGTGTGGGGAATGGGAGGTATGGGTGTCCCTGTGTGGGGAATGGGGGGTATGGGGGTCTCTATGGGGGGGAATGGGGGGTATGGGGGTCCCTGTGTGGGGAATGGGGATACGGGGGTCCCTGTGTGGGGAATGGGGGGTATGGGGGTCTCTATGGGGGGGAATGGGGGGTACGGGGGTCCCTGTGTGGGGAATGGGGGGTACGGGGGTCCCTGTGTGGGGAATGGGAGGTATGGGTGTCCCTGTGTGGGGAATGGGGGGTATGGGGGTCTCTATGGGGGGGAATGGGGGGTATGGGGGTCCCTGTGTGGGGAATGGGATACGGGGGTCCCTGTGTGGGGAATGGGGTATATGGGTCCTGTGTGGGGAATGGGGGTATGGGGGTCCCTGTGTGGGGAATGGGGGGTACGGGGGTCTCTGTGTGTGGGAATGGGGGGTACGGGGGTCTCTGTGTGGGGAATGGGGGTACGGGGGTCCCTGTGTGGGGAATGGGGGGTACGGGGGTCCCTGTGTGGGGAATGGGGGTTGTGGGGGGTCCCTGTGTGGGGAATAGGGTGTACAGGGGTCCCTGTGTGGGGAATGAGGGGTACAGGGGTCCCTGTGTGGGGAATGGGGGGTACGGGGGTCCCTGCGTGAGTAATGGGGATATGGGGGTCCCTGTGTGGGGAATAGGGTGTACAGGGGTCCCTGTGTGGGGAAGGGGGAGTACGGGGGTCCCTGTGTGGGGAATGGGCTTCATACAGGAGATATGGGGGTCCCTATGTGAGTTATGGGGGTCCCTGTGTGGGGAATGGGCTCATAGGGGGGATATGGGGGTCCCTATGTGAGTAATGGGGAGGTATGGCTGTCCCTGTGTGGGGAATGGGGGATATGGGGGTCTCTGTGTGAGGAATGGGCTCATAGGGGGGGTATGGGGGTCTCTATGTGAGTAATGGGGAGATATGGGGGTCCCTGTGTGGGGAATGGGCTCAGAGGGGGGATAGGGGTATCCCTGTTTTAGGAATGGGCTCATAGGGGGGATATGGGGG